GAGCGCTGTTTCTGATTCCTCGAAACCCTCCACCAAAACTTAAGTCAAAGAAATGGTAAGCCCTAAACACACACACACACACACACACACACACACACACACACACACACACACACACACACACACACACACATGCAGCAGGATTTCTCTTCTAAAAACAGGGCCTCTGAGGGGTCTTTGTTGTGGGTTTCATGCATCTGATAAAAGATCTTCCAGCACTCTCGTCTTGAGAAGAAAAGGTTGAAAATAAGGGGCATGTCTAGATATATCAAGATAAATAAAGTTTTTTTTCTTGTTTATTTTGTTTTGTTTTTTTAAAGAAGTCCAGTCATCCAGATTAAAAACCCACTGGTGTGTGTGTGTTCTGGATTGAATCCTATTTAGAGTTTGATTATCGGCCTCTTTCCTTTCTCTCTCCATATTTTCTGTGGATAATTGATAGGCACTTGTTGAACTCATGGTGGAACTCTCATGCTGTCTTTCATTCAGTATTAATGTCATCTGAAAAATGCTTTCTATTGGTGCTTTTAATAGCGTCAATGATTTGGGGTGAACTGCTTTCCCATTTCGCTCCAGGCCCTCTTGAGGCAGAAAAATAAAGCAGCCCCACATTTTCCTTCCCAGTTTTCTATGACTTTACACACGGCGCATGTCACTGATTGTAGAGTGCTTCTGTAGGTAGATATCATCGTAAAAGTTGGACTCGTTATTTTGGATTTGCTTTTCCTCGGTAGAGTAGCGCTGGGAGAGGCGATTCTAGCTTTTATACTGTGGGTGAGTGGAAATACTTATTTAAGAATTATGTGGAGTGTTATGCAGTTCAGTGAATTAGATATTTATTTAATGTTGTCTTCTCTTCTGATTTGTTAAGTTTTATGGTTGGAACTACAATTTGTTGCTGGTTTTAACCCTACAAAAGCATTTTTATCATATTTGCTACATGAGTTTCTGAGACCTCCATCTCATCAACATAATCAATACTTGCCTAAAAAACCTTAAAGTCTTGTTTGTTTTTTGTCTAAAATTAACATTGTTGCTAACAAAAAGTTGCCAAAAGCGCCGAATGTATCAAATGTGATACAAAAAATATATCATCAACAACATGATATAGCAAAAAAAAAAAAAGAAGTGGATTTTAAAAAATGAGTCTTTAAATTAGTGATTCGGTTTAGAGAATTTAGTGTATTCACAGAAATGTGGAGGAGGTTAAGTGATACTTTGTTACGTTAGTGTGTCTGTTGTTAAACCTGCTTGTAATGCTTTCACGTTTGTCTGTATTTTGTCTGCAGGTCGAAGCGTTTCTTGTCGTTCGTTGATAGTTGCCTGATCAAGAACCATCTACATCGACCCACCACAGATGTCCTACTGAGACACGCCTTCATCAAAGACCTGGCTAACGAGAGACAAGTTCGCATCATGCTTAAAGATCATCTGGACCGAACCAGGAAGAAGCGAGAGAAAGGTCAGGGCAAATAAAGGCAGTAAATTTAAACCATAAACGAGCTATTGGCTGTTTTCCTGCTGTCTGTATACAGGGTGGTTTACAGTGACAGAAGCTAGGGCTATTTTTCTGCTCATAGGCTGCTTCACATTTTCCAAAGTCATCCAGTGAGCCGGATCAGAGTCTTTGCTGGACCACTTGTGTCCCCTGGGCCTTGGGTTTGACACCACTTCTCTGCAGGGTTCACAGTTTAATTCCACGTAAAACAAAGGCTGTCATATCTGCACTACGCTGTTAGAATCTGAAAATCCTTTCAGGTGTGTCTAAGTGTCAGGGGTTTTTCAAAGTAAAATGTCAGGTTGAATTTATCACCATGTTTTAAAAATTGACGGTATCTTCTGGCTTTGAGCCCAGCCGTGGTGGATAACGCTGCACACTTGAGCTGAGAGTGGACCAGCTGCTCTCACGGCAGCAGCAGCTGTTTCGCTCAGGCTGCTCAGACAAACACAGCATTTTGCCTCATTTCTTGCCTGCTGTTTATGGAAATGATTCATTTGGTTGCCATTTGGTACTTTTGCATATATTCTGCTTTGTTGTATCTTCATTCATTTTGTCAAAGCTTATGAAAACATATTCTGATGCTAACAGCGCCGGCGAGGCAGACGAGGAGAGCGCAGCAGCGGGAGAATGTTAGGTCAGGCCGAAGGGAAGTCTCGGGCTGACCTTTGCTTTCCTTTTTCTGCTGCATTCTTTTATAACAATGTCTCGCTCACAAAGATGGACGAACGAAGCGAGGACGAAGGGAACAAAAGGCATAGAAACAGACAAAAGAACAACAAATTAGGAATGTGTAACACGAGGAAGCAAGCTGTGAGACGTATAGTGTGAACGTAATTTATCCTCCGCTTACTCTGGATGAGCTGCATGTGCTGAATCACTGATGCCAAAATGTGCAGTCAGACAGTTAGAAAAACAGTCAGGACGGAGATATTTATGACTCTCTTTGCTTTGTTCTCATGTCAGTATTCAGACAGTGTAAGTAATCCTCATAATGTCTATTAGCTTTATTTTTCTTCATTTGCAAAAGTGAGAGAGAGAGACGCTGAGGGGAAGTAAGGAGGAAACGAATCACCATCTGGTTCTAATCTTCTGTTGGCTTATAACAACACTCTAATGACTGGTAGGCTTTCTGCTGTATGCGCTGTGTGTATGCAGTGTGTATAAGGCCATATTTGTGATTTAGTGTGTGTTTCTGTTCCCCTGTTCCCCTCCACAGTAATGAAATGTTGGTAGTGTTACTGTGAAGAGAAAAAACTTTGCAAGTTCTGCAAGAAAGGGGAAAAAAAAGAAAATCAGTGCGTCCGGATGTGATGCAAAAACGGATGTGTCATTCATCATACCCAAGAGTGTAGTTTGGACAAAGATGTCTGTGTTTTGGAAGATGAGTCACTCCAAAAAGAAATGATTAAAGTCCCACTTTTCAGTCAGGAAAAACTAGGCCGTCCCCTCCAGTCCTTCCCGTGTCTTTCAGCTCCTTTGGAGCCCTTCAAGCATGACATCACCACCATATAAAATATGCTTTTGCCCTGTTTGTTAACGAAAGTCTTCTTTTCTGCTTCGAACAAATCCACCTGTGTTGCGTTGCCTTTTTGGCTTCTTAATGGCAACATATGGTGTGTCAAGTTGATGTTCAACTTACCCCAAGCTCCTATCACACCATATGGTGGCCAAATGTTGTTATAGGAAGCTGACTGGACCCATCTTCATGTACCCCCTTGGAAGAGTGATGGATTTTAGTGCAGTGTTCATGAAGGCAGTCCTGGTTAAAAATGACACTGGGATAGTAGCATTTTTAAACATTTCCTACCTGTGCTAACACATGCTTGCATGCATTGTGTTGCCGTGTGTCCCTTGATAAAAGGTGTATGTGGAAACGAGAGACACCTTTTAAATGGGGAAGCACTGCTGTCCTGAAATCTACTACAGCATAAAACTCTGCTCCTTTAGGCTTCCATAAAAGAAGCCTCTTTCATTTTTTGCTGAATAACTTTGCCCACACTAGACTTTTGTGTGGCTTTTTGATAATGACAAAATTGCTACTGGCAGCAGACGATGAAGGGGGAAGAGGGTAGGGCATGGAGGAAATTTTAATGAAATAGCGGCTTGCTCACAAAGCCAGAAACACAGATGAGAATTCCCACCGCGGTGCTGACACATCAGAAGCGTTCACCCAAGACACCACCCGTGAGCGCATCGCATTTCTAACGCGTCAATTTACAGTAGAGCGTGCAGTGCAGCGTGTGGATGGTGCGACTCGTCAGAGAGTCTTCACTTTCTCTGCATCTGGGGCCAGATGCATGAGGGCCTGGTGACTGACGTCATACAGTGGCTGTTTGTGCATCAAGTTATTTGAAATGTCAGTGAAAGGAAAGACAAAGAAGAAGCAAAAGTGAAAGAAATGCACTCGCTCGAAGTAGAGAAAAGAAACTGTTTTATTTTGGAGTTTCAGTTCTGGAATAATAAAAAGAATAATCTGTAGAAAAAGAGAACGAGAGCATTGGTGCTGCAAGGCAAAAAGGAGAAATGGTGTAACCACTCACAGCACAAAAGGGCAGATTATTACTACAGCAATTTATTTAAGCACCTACAATTACCAAAGAGAAGAAAAAGTTTCACGAGGTTCAGTACCCATTAAATTATGTGCCAGATGACTTAAACTGGAGATATTCATACAGATGTGCATCTGTGCGCTTCTGTAAACAGGACAAAATGTTCTGTGATATCAGCTGTTTGCCTAAAGGTGAGATTGTGTCTCAGCTTATTTTTCATCGGCATCCTTTTGGGTTTGACTCTGAAAAAGTGTGAAGTATCAGGACCAGTGTCCATGTGGGAAAAGGAGTACGTGTATTTAAATATCACCATGTTGGGTGCTGCATAGTAACTTTTTACTGTATCCACTCCTCCTCGCTTTCTCTTCTCTCTCCTTTTTACTCTCTCAGAGGGCCCAGAGTATGAATACAGTGGCAGTGAGGAAGAGGATGATGAGGTCACAGAAGAGGAAGGAGAACCCAGGTAAAGCTTTGTCACGCCAGGCAAAATATTATTCACCAGAAATTAAAGCAGGACTCAGTTACAAGCAACAAGCTGTCAAGCACACATCATGCGTCTGCCATATAAACATATAAATGATTTTTTTTATTGTTATTAGGTCTTAAGTGATCATTGCTACTGAATCACTACAGGTTATGCTTTATTATAAGTCCACAGACAGATGTTGCTGTCGCTGGATGTCAAATAGCAGATGGTGCCGTGCACGGAGCTCACTCACTCCTAGAGTGAGATTAATGTGTGTGTTTTTGTTGCTGTGACCACTTTCCCTTCGTCCTCACGTTAACTCGAGCACGTCACTCGCACTTGACTTAATGCCGCTCACGTGTCTCTCTCCATCAGCTCCATAGTCAATGTTCCCGGCGAATGGACGCTGAGGCGGGAGTTTCTTCGACTGCAGACAGAAGATCACGAAGGCGGCAGAGACGTAGGGCGCGGAGGAGGTGGTGGAGGTCAGCGGGGACAACAGGTAGTTTGTTTTGTTCTGTGCAGTTTTGTCTACATGCATATAAATTTTAGTAAGATGCAGAGAATTACATGTGATACATTTATTATGAGCAGCAGGTTATTTTACTGAACTATTTCACATTTAGCAGTTAGCTTTCAGTATCGTGTCAGGGTTAGACAGCACTCCGCTCAACGGTGGATGAAGTCAAACATGAATCGGTTTTCTTAGTTGCATTTTAAGTGTGGTCATGTTGTATTTGACATCCAGGCGTTGCAGCAGCACAGGCAGCAGCTGGAAGAGCAGGAGCGATACAAGCAGCAGATCCTGGCTGACAGACAGAGGAGGATCCAGCAGCAGCAAGAGCAACGGCAAAAGTTAGAGGATGTAAGTGCTGTTATTTACAGTGGTTTCCATAGGATTCACTCAGCATTGACACATTAATAATAAAACGTTAAGAGCGAATATAATATTTTATTGTCTGTGCTTAACTTCCTCTTTCACCTTCCTCATATCGAGTCTTTAAACTGCGACCGTTGTGACTTTATGTAGTTTTACTGCAGGGAACAATGTCAGCATAAAGCCTTAATGTTTGTTTAATGCTTACATTTGTTAGGTTGATTAAAACAGTTCCCTTTGTTGTTGCCTGCAGCAGAGGCGACAGCTGACAGACTGTGCCTTTCAGTGGGGAGAGCTGCAGGAGGTCTTTTTTGGGGAGGAGTCTGAGCTCCACGACAGCAGGATCTTAGTGGATGAGGGAAACAAGAGGAGCGACAGGAGACAGGTGCAGATGAACTTTTGACTTGGTAGCAGTTGGAGGATCTTTTTATACATGCATACTGAGTCCACTGTAGGTGTAGTGGTGAATTTCCAAAGCTTAGGTTTTACAGCAGTGTTATGATAACCTTACAGGAGACCTGTTACGTTTATTTGCAACTTTACCTGAAGCGAGCCCTTTTTGTCACGTCCTGAGCTCAAGATGGTTCAGTTTTCTCTCTGCGCAGATAATATTAGCAAAGCTAATATGGTAGATAACCACAACTTAATGAAACTGCTTAATATATTTATCTTAAACAGTTACCATTGTTGTTGGTGCTTTCCAAAAAAGCTTGTTTGGTTTGTTAATATGATGTCGCTTGAGGAGAGGACAAAAGCTGAACTGCGTGAAGGTGGACAGTGATTGGTTTAAAAACATCAGATGTAAGCACTGATTCTTGGCTGACCAAACAGCTGTTGGATGAGCTGTAACATGTTCATGTCTTTACCACCTTCTTCACCTGACAAGTTTTCCACCTGTGATGGTTTCCCAGGGTTTCAGATGAGTTTTTAAAAAAATGATCAGAAGCATCAAGCAGACACGCAGCAACTTTGTCACTTTGTTTCTTTCATATTCACGTGCTCGGTTGTTTAATTAATTAAAAAAAGCTCCCGAGGGGAAGATCAGGCTCCATAGCTGCTTAATGCTCCGCTGTGTTCGTCACCTGGCTGCTAACTTTGTCTGCTGCCTGGTGCTGGATAAGTAGTCTACAGTGCATTAAACAGAGCCTTTTTTGCCAAAACAGCTGCCTACTGAGATGGAAATGACGCTGATGAGGACTGTCGGGATGGAACAAAAGTGAAGACGTGCATAGTGATAAGTTACTTCTTGCTGAAATGTCTTCCCAGTAGGCTGACTGCTGCACGTCCTTAATGACCCCTGTGTTTGAGACATAAAAGCCAACACAACAGCTGAACGTGTATATGTGAGTGATAGGAGTGATAGGCCCCTGAGAGTCTGACCTGGGTACCAAAACTGCTCTGACCTCCAACAGCTAATCCCTAAAACATCTCATGTCTTTAGATTATAGTTTGAGCAAAGTTATATAATGTCTGTGAAGTAGCTGTCAGAGGAGTTACTTTGTGACAGGTGACTGAAACA